CATGCAGATTACGAATACAATATTAGTTTTTGGTATTATCCATTACTTCTATCGATTTTATCGATTTTGCAAAATTTGAGCTAGGGGGCTGGAATTTGGCACAGGGGTGTAATCGAGCATGCTGATCACCCCCTTGGGGATGATCAGCATGCTCGATTACCCCCCTGTGCCAACTCCCAGCCCCCTAGCTCAAACTTTGCAAAAAATCGATAAAATCGATAAAAGTAATCCATAATCCCGAAAACCAATATTGTATTCGGAATCCCCATGCTCGATTACCCCCTGTGCAAACTCCCAGCCCCGTAGGTGAACTCAGCAAAAAAATCGATAAAAATCGATAAAATCGATATCGATCGATGACGAAAAGTAGCCTATGACACCCGCCGGGGCCCGTAGTGTATGTGTGCCAAGTTTGGTCCGGATCGGTTCAGAAATGGAATTTTCTATTCGGAACATACGTACACACAGACATACATACAGACAGACAGACAGACAGACAGACATACAGACAAACAGACATTCAGCTTTATATATAAGATAATATATATTGTATTGAGTCTGCGTATTATCTGGCCACTGATGGGTCTTATGGTTCAAAGTGTTAGTTTCTTGGGAAGTATTCCAGAAGATGTATACAAGAGTTCGGTTTACCCATAAAGTTTCATCGTGCAAAATCAGAACCTCAGAAAGCATACGACTCATGGGTGGGTCGAATTGACCGGAATGCTAGGACATTACGACCCACCGATGGGTCGTATTGTCGTGAATGTGTTGAACTAAAAATACGCTTCTCAAAAAATTTCGCAACGTACACTTAATCTTAGTTTGCGAGGTGGGAACATTTGATATAACATCGCTCCATACTGTGTTCAAATTGATACAAAGATGTAAGCTGTTTTCAACGGTTTGGCGTAAACAGCAATGCTTTTTCTTATAAGCTGGTGCTCGAGCCACTTTCGCATGCAAGTTAGAGGCTTATGTCTAATTTTTAGCTCCAACGCTGGCCATCGCCTTAGCAGTATCCAGGGGTTAGGGGTGCCTGGCTTTTGTAGCAATGTTATAGCAGTGCCTAGCACTCCCAAATTTCAGTATGCAGCCCAAAAGTTCGACGATGTTCTAACCGCAGATCATCATTCAATCATCATTCATTAAATTATCCGTTGACTATCTTCTTTCAGGGCAACCTTTGAGATATCAAACGTCAACATTGGAAAAACATCAAAATGGAAGGCCCTTTTCAAGTTTTTATCTCAAAATTTTCCAAATTTCTAGCACTTTTGTGCAGTTTATGTGAGCTATAGCATATTTACCATTCATGGAGCAAATTTTCGAAGCCGTTTCTAGAAATCTTGAAATGTTTGATAGGCAAGGCAACTGTTAGACTTGTAAATGGCGACTCCCAGTTGTGTTTTCCAAATGCAGCTCCAGATTTTTCGAATTCACAAGTTTAGGAAACTGAAGAAGAAATGATAAGCAGGATGAGAGCTTTTGGAAGTGCATACTCATTACTCTTGAAGCTCTAAGAATTGAGAAAAACATATATTGCAAAAAAGGGACTGCATCGAGCTTATTACTCAAATGGTGAGTCACAATTGAGATATTCGACTCCAAACTGGACCCCGGGATCGTATTCGCATGGATTCATGGCACGACACATCAGTTTCGCGCGAGGACCCACGCGTGTCGCGCCATGGATCCATGCGAATACGATCTCGGGGTCCAGTATGGAGGCGAATATCTCAACTGTGAGTTCACCACTTGAGCTGCCGTTTGGGCAGTGTCTTAGTAGGGCCCCAAAATTACTTTCCAGTCAGAACTCCCCTATGTCCAAGTTTGCCTGAACGCTGCCTTCAAATCTTAGACGAAGTGTCAGATAACGCTGCCTTTAAATTCCAGACGAAGTGTCAGATAAAAGTGCGTGATAATGAACGCTTTTCAAGAACACTCCAGCACCACATTATATATGCCAAAATTACTGGTCCAAGCTGGACGACAAAGCGCACTCTTCAATATCAAGCAAGAAATTTTCGATATGACACTAACGTTTATTAATAAGATAAACCTCTCTAAGTTTTGCGTAATTTGTTTTCGCCATAGCTTCTTTTCCCACCGAGTTTAAAAAATGAAGTAATTGCGGTTATCATTGCTGATACTTTTTGAAGAGGCTGACGAATACCCTGTGGTTCTCGGGATTGACGGCTGAAATGCTTGTTAATCAAAGCTAAGGATGCGGGACAGTTGGCGTGCTGGTATGATTGTTATTGGGCCACATAAGCTTTCTACCCTAAGGCCTAAGGCACACCTCGCGCGATTCCGGTCGCTGCGCGATTTGGCACAACAGCGACTCTTCCTAATTCGTCGTTAATGCGCTGCCTTTGGCCAGAACTTGCTCTGTTTGCACCAACTTACACAAGCTACTCAAATATGCGTCTAAGAAGTACGCACGGTAAATTTATAGAAATCTGGCAAATCGCCAAGTCGCGTGAAAGTGGCGAATCGCGTGAGGTATGCCTTAGGCCTAAGGTGACAGCAGATTGGTGTCGCAGCAATCTGGGAGGATAAAAGTACCGACTTGATAATCGGCTGGTCCCACAAGTTGCTGTAAAAGTTCAACTGCTTCTTTTACTACGGGAGTAGGTTGCGTTTGAAGCATGCTTGAGGGTATTGAAGACTCCAATTCTTTTATCCTTTATCCTCACATGAATAGGCAAATCTTGAGCATTGCCTACCTGTCTCCAAGTCAGTGCATGATTAAAGTTTACTGTTAAGAGAAACTAGAAAACTTTTGGTTCGGTAGGGGGGGAACTATCTTAACACATTGACGACCACGTGATCCATAGTGGGTCATGCAATGAATGCCACGTGGGACAATGTGACCCACGTGGGTCACGGCATAAATCTTGTTGAAATGATAACAATTACTGGGTACATCCGTTTCATGAGGTTCTTTTACGCTCTAACCCCAGAGGACACCTTAAGGTTTCTTGACTGCTTTTTAGAATCTGTATAGGTATAGAATAGATACGACCTGCGTGATTTTACCTAGAAATTTTCGATTTTTTCGTGGAAGGCATTGTCCCACAAGGCCTACAACTAAGAATACGCGTTGCCATCAACGTGTTAATCCCAGCGGCTTCGTTTCACACCATCACTTTCTCAATACTCGAGCAATTTGGCAAAGCTTCAATTAATCATGAGATTGCGGACCGAGGTTCTCTGGAATTGCACCATTATCGGCATGTCATCACTTCTTCATATTCGGGTTGAAGAGCGACCAAGTCAATCATAATCGAATCAAGTGCTCCGGTTATAAGATCACGCCATCGCTCGTAATATCCGGCAGTGGTAATCCTTATCATTTCTATATCTTTTTTGCCCACTGCAATGATAGATCTTTGTCAAGGTTCAGTGTGTTACGACCATGTAATACTATAAAAAAATTTCAAAACCTTCCAGATGTTTTTGTACAAACTGATGGCTTTTCTGTTACTGTCAATATCACGATCTTCATCGAGACTACTTTGCGGTGTGGAATTAATCACAAGTAACTTTATGGAGGTGTACGTCAAACTGGACTGTCCCAATCATTTGAGTAAGTATCATCACATTTTCATTTTTTATAAAAAATCGCGGGCTTTGCAGCCGAACATCGAAAATGTTGCACTGATCATGGTGTATGCTATTTATTTCGAGAACATTGGTCCGTTTGCGATAAGAGATACTGTGAATGTGTTTACAAAATTGCCGGAAAATCTGGAGGTATATGTCAGGTAAGTAGTCCTCTGAAATCGTGCACTTTTCTATCGTATGTCTTTTCAGACTCATGGAGAAAATTTCTGCAAAATCGTAAAGGACACGGGTCGAAGCATCCATCCACTTTATGGAAAACGATGATTTATTTCATAATCAGTAAAAAATTATAAAAATGTTTCAACACTTAACGATTGCAAATACTTGTCGCCTCTCTTTTTCGCGTTCTTCCCTTTCAAGGGTCAGAATAATATTTCAAGTTTAGGAAAATCCTATAAATTCACATTTTCAAATCAATCTGAGACCTTTAAACAAATGATGCTCACGATATTTCATCCTTTTCCAAACTAAAGAACTTTCCAGAACTATTTTTGAAAATCTACCAGTTTTTGCTGCGCGGATGTTGAAGTGCTATACTGGATACAGAGACAAGTTGATGTTGAACATTCAAAAAACTTACTTAGTTGATTTACACTAAAAAAGAATTTGCCGGTATTTCTGAAGGTTATCAGGATCCTACGCAAAACTCTCTGAATGTGAAAAGTTTGGGAGGATTTACAAGGTATAGACATTATAACGCCGAAAACATCTTTGAATGCGTTCAGGCTTCCAACGTGGAGCCAGCAGTTGAGAGGTGTTCGAAAAAAATTCAGCAACTGAAAGAGGATTAGAGTATCGCGTATAAATCTATACTATATTAAACTCCAATCTTAGTCTCGGTCAAAGCACATACAATGAGATATGTTGATGCCTATGAGTCGTAAACAATGACAACAAATTTATGTTGCTAACCGACATGACTTATGGTTGAAGGCGTCTGCTTCCCGCAGTTGTTTTACAGACGCGCTACTATAACAGGTAGAGGTGCTTAGTATCTTGACCAAGAAAAAAGGATTTATAAGAGCATATTTAGACTTAGACTCAGGTTCCAATTCAGACAAACTCAGGTTCCAATTCAGACAGAAAAGATCGAGGAAACTAATTTATTATACTGACTAGAAAACGTTGTTGCAAATCACCCTATCATCTTTGCCTCCTCCGAACTCGAACTGGCATTATCCTTAAAACGAAAACTTATGCTAATTCTCTAGAGACAAGCAAGCCCGTCTTTTCACTATGTTAGAAAGCGACCGTGTTACCAGCCAGTAATCGAATCCAGTGACCCGATTATAAGATCCGTAATCGTCAATCACTCGTAGGTTCATGCAATAATCTTTAGCCGTTAGCCTTTAAGATCTTGTGCTATTTTTATGTTTTGCAATAATAAGGTAGGTTATCGATTATGCAGTCAAAATCCTCCACGAATTTGCTATTTTTTAGTTGCTAAGAATTTTCTTGGTGGCTGCGTTTGTGCTTATACCGAAGTCTTCGTCCAGACTACTTTGTGGAATAGATGTATTCACTGGCACTATCATGGAAGTGCATGTAAAATTGGACTGTCGTAAACAGCTAGGTGAGATTACTCCTTTTTTCCTTTTCGGCACAATTCTGAGCTAATTTCTAGGCGCACATCGAAAATGTTGTACTGCTCATGGTGTTTGCTATATATTCAAAGTGCATTGGTCGAAATGTGATAGGAAATACTGCGAGTGTGTTCACGAAATCGCTGAGAAAGTCAAAGGAAAATGCAAGGTAGGAAACTCTACAATCACACTTCATGCTTTGATTGGTCTTTTTCGCAAATACTTTTTCTTTCAGAACCATGCCAAAAACTTCTGCAAAATTGTGAAGGATAACGGACGACTTGTTTATCATCTTCATCAGAAAAAATGATTGCTCAAAAGATAACAACAGTAATAAATAAATGTTTCTACATTCTTCTGTATCGAATTGTGCAATGCACACACTAATTTACAAGATTCTCGACCCAACCTTTCATATGATATACAAACTTTCTGTCGAAGACCTTCCACTGAAGAATAAAATTAATGTTCTAGATATCTAGCAGTGGCGGTCCGTCCAGGATTTAAGTCCGAGGGGGGGGGGGAGGGCGAAGAAGTTTTTTTCCAAATGAAGGTGCGTGGCGTTAGCCGTGCTCTGAAAAAATCTTTAGGGTCTTTTGAGGTTATGGACCCGAAAACTCTTTCAAAATTTTTCGGGTCCATAACCTCAAAATCTGAAAAAAAAAAGGGGCGTGGCCGTGGCTTTTAAAAGCACCTCATAAATTTTTCGTAGTGCGGCTAAGTTTTAGGAAATTTTAGAATTTATTTTAGTTGTTTACGAGAATAAACAAGTCACTTGCACCTTTGTATAGCCATATAAGTGAATTTCAAGAATTTCGCAACCCATTCTCGGAGGGGGAGGAGGACCTCTTCTGTCTGGCACTGGTATCTAATAGTAGTGGACCTGAGGAATTTTGTGTGGGGGAGGGGGGGAGGGGACCACTACACGAATTGCGCTAGCCACTCCTTTGAAATTTCTTTTCACAAAACTGATTCAAATCGTAAAAAAACATTTTATTGCTTACAAGTGTAACAAGTCAGTTGCACTATCAATGATCAAATGATTGTTTCGAAATTACGACTCGTTTTTATTTGGAGGGGGGACAAAAACGCCTTAGCCCACTTTGCTCTCATATTTAGCTTTAGACAATCAATAAAATTTATCTGAAAATACTCGTTATTCAGTGATGTACAAAGTTTCCAATGATCCAAAGCTCAAACAATAGATCATTGCTGATTTTGGCATGTTCGCATGCATGAGTTATAATCCAGGAAATTGTTCTCGTTTCCTTGCGATCCATAGTAGGAGAATCTGAAAACCAAGATTCTCTCATTTTTTTCAAATTTTTACGCTCTCTCTCACCTCATGCAAGTCTTATATTGACTTGTATAGAAGTAACGATCGCTCTTACTGTTTTCGTTGACGAATCTTCCTGAATCGTAGCGCAGATTGCATAGATAGCCTGAAATTATTTTTAAGAAACATTTCAAAGCAGGATTTACTGTAAAGTGATAAATCTTGCTTGGTGTTGGACAGCAGAATCCACTCGTGCATTGATATCCATTCTGACATCCTTGTCCATTGCTGCATTGCCTTGGAGTCAAATGCTCTACATCGTACTGAGCTTGGCAGGCAGCTAAAAGCGATTTTCAAAGAAATTCGGAAAATTACAAATAAGTGCAGTTAATAAAGTTAATAGTTCTTCACCTTGCATCGCTGCATTCATGGAAGAGCTAGGGTTTCTTTGGAGTGTGTTGGCTCCTTTGTTATCGATACACATCTGTTTACATTCGGCAGCGGTCTCAAAACGATTGCCATTGCCATTACAGCCATTGTACATGAATGGCTGACAAACTTCTGAAAAAAATACTTTTGGGGGTTTTGATAATTTAGGTAAGCAATACTACTACTAGCAATACTTTATATGGATACTCATAAAAAGACCTTAACTACGACACTGTTTTGATCGCGACTCTCATGACTTATTCGGGGACGACGGGCTTAACTTTGAATTCTCGCCCATTACCGTATTCGAGAGCGTTTCTGCTCGAAAAGATTACGGTATTGGGAGAGTTTAAAAATGTGCTCGATGAATGTATGCTTGAGAGACAGCTCACAAGACTTGATTGCAACCCAAAAATTAAACTTTGATCTTGCTCCCTACCGTACTGGAAAGCATTTCCGCCTGGGAAAATACGGTACTTAGCGGGGCTCTGTTCTTCACGAATGAATCACAGGACATGCCTTTTTTGCAAACAATTATGGCACTGAATGGTTATTATGGATCTTTGAAACATCCTTAATCTGGCGCGAATATATGCATCTGCCTGTGGTTCAACTTATAATGAGTTAAAGCGACTCATAGGCTTCATGCCATTTGAACCAAGATCACCACGTACTTTTCCAGATAACCGTGTGAGCTTCAAAATATTAGTAGGATTCATATTGATGGAAAGGAGAAGATTACTTTTTTGTGATATTTGAAAATTTAACTCAATGTCATGATTAGTTTTTTTGTTTTTTTCATTCTTAACCGCCCAAAAAATTCAACAAGAAAACAAAAAATCATTTCAAACTTACTTTGGTTTGAATCATAGTAGAACATCTGCCTTTGTTGCGCTCCAGCGCAGAAATTTCCTGGAGCACGCGGTGCATTACAGTCTTTTTGCTGACTATCATACTGCATATTCGATGGCATTGTTGTGCTTTGGTAGGCTTGGTTTACCCCATATTGGGTGGTGCAGTTACAAGTACGGTATGGATTCGGGGTAGTGCTTGGTTGGTTGTATTGGCCTTGATCCTGCTGGTATTGTTGATTTTGATTTTGCTCATTCTGAGGGTACTGTTGGTTTTGTTGATACTGCTGAGGTTGCTGATTTTGCTGGTACTGCTGAGGCTGTTGGTACTGCTGATTCTGTGGGAATTGCTGAATCTGAGCTGGAATTGATCCTTGCTGCATTGGCTGATCGTACTGATATTGTTGTCCCTGATATGGCTGTGGATTTTGGTATTGGTACTGCCCCTGAGAGGACTGATATTGTGGATACTGTGCTCCTGATGTTAGAGCGGGATTATACTGGTAGCCTGCATAGTTCTGAGCGATGGCCGAACAAACAAAAGTGTTGAGAAGAGTAAATAGGAGTTGAGTCATCCTGAAAGTATGAGATTGAGCAAACAATTAAACTTAAAATTTTAGAAATTGATAAAATTTTGTTGCCAGCCTAAAAATGATTCAGCCGTCAGGTGGATGCACTTTTGCAAAACTTTTCAAGTCAGTGCTCAATAAAAAGAAAAAATCTTTCACTTCCCAGCAACGCTCAAAATTGGACTTTTTCTTGACATAATACAACGATGCAAGCTGTTTGAAAACGTTCAATGTCAGTTTTGATCACTGAGCTTGAAAACATTTTCTGAAATCTACCTATTTTTTGATTTACTTTTAAGTTTATGACTTCTATGATTTGCTTACCATTTAAAAGATGCTTGGTGATCGTATATCACAAATTGTAATAATCATCGAATTTTTGTAATAATCATCGATTTTTTATATAACTTTTTGATTTCTTCTTGATTTGATCAACTACATTCACTATAGCTTATAAAAACTACATTACTTAAGTTATGAATTCTATGGACAACTTCGAAATGAATTGTTCGTATTTTTTATTGGTATTCTTCCATTTTTCTCCCAATAATCGAAGCTCATCGCTTAGCATTCGAAAAGTGATTTTGCACTGGTCAAAAATTGTCATAAGGAGAGTTCAAGCACTCAACTTAGGTTCAAAAATTCTCATTTTCCCTGATTTTATTCTATTAACAGACGCAAGAATAACGAGTACTTACAGTTAGAACTAGGCTTTCATGAGCATACAAAGCAGTGCTTATGAGATAAATCTCTTCAGTGGAATATTACTAAGTCGCTAACATAGCCTAAAGCGTGAGCCAAAATTTTTTTTGCAGATATAATTGCTGATACGCAGCCGGGTTAAATTAACTGCATTTGAGAGGATATAAAATTTTTACAACTAAAATTTAAGCTGTTTTGTATGACAGAGGACAAGAAAGTTGGCGAATGTCTATAACAAATTGTTAAACAGAAGTCAAATGCCAGAGTATTTTTTTGCCTTGCATTACTTTCCAGAAATGAAAAGCAAAATAAATCGTGGTACTTCAAGATAGCGAAAAAAAAGCCTCAAGCAAAGCTACAATTAAGTCGAAAAATACTGGGATTTTTTTCATGAAGATCTCACCTGCGAAAGTCCAAAGCTTGATACTCGAGTGAACAGAAGCCAGTAAGTAGCACATGGTTGCCTTATGTACCTTCACGGATTTGTTTGCGCTTTGTAAATAAGCTTCCAGGTTCGCGCACTGTTGCCAACCTCATCGTCTCTCGGTGATGATTGCTCTTCGCGTGACCTCTAAATCCGTCTAGTTTTTTGAGCGACACTCTGGCTTCATTTCGGCAAATAAAATTGAATAAAAAATCTTGATATTTTCAATAAAAGGACTGATTTTAGCCCAAACTTTGCTAGCGAGTTTTAATGTCTGCGCTGTTAGCGACCCCTAACACTCGCTGATTCTGTAGGACAAGCGAAAAAGGTAACAAGAAGCCCAGGGATGAATAGTGTAGACTTTTCAATGATTGAGTAGATGGCGTAGCATTAAATAAATAGAGTGTAACCTATGATTCAACTGGCTTGGCGGCTAGAAGGCGGGGCTTCGTGACCTAGTTGAGGCTAGGTTATGATCAGAGAGTCAGAGAGCACGTGCGCGGGGGAGACGCAGACTGCGTCGCGGGCGCGAGCGGCCTCAATTAGGTCACGAAGCCTCCCCTTCCAGGCTCTAGCCAAATCAAAGAGTATATACAGTAGTCTTCATTCAAACAAATGCCTTGTGTAATTGCACAAATTTTCGAATTACGTGGCAGTTGCAGACTTAAAACTAACACAGCTTTTTCGAACTTGTGCGATCGTCTTTTTGCCACCTTATCACGGTCTCACCTACTTTCCATTTATGGTAATGACTCTACCGCGTCCGTTAGCTTTTTTTTGGCGAAGTTGGTGCAATTACTCAAAGCGGGTTCTGGAATGGGGTCATCTGGATTATTCAATCTGAGACTAAAAGGGAAGGATACTTGGTCGAAATGGCGTTTCATACAAATTGCGCACTCTCTTATAGAGTACTAGCTGGCTTACCCGGCTCCGCCGTATCCGAACCAAACTTGGCACACATACACTTCGGGCCCCGGCGGGTGTCACAGTTTACTTTTCGTTATCGATCGATGTCGATTTTACCGATTTTTATCGATTTTTTTGCAGAGTTCACCTACAGGGCTAGGAGTTGGCACAGGGGGGGAAGTGAGCATGGGGATTCCGAATACAATATTAGTTTTCAGAATTATCGATTACTTTTATTAATTTTATCGATTTTTTGTAAATTTTGACATGCGAGGCTGGGATTTTGCACAGGGGGTAATCGAGCATGCTGATTACGAACACAATATTAGTTTTCAGGATCGTCCATTACTTTTATCGATTTTATCGATTTTTTTGTAAAGTTTGACCTGCGGGGCTGGGAGTTTGCACAGGGGGGGGGGTAATAGCATGCAGATTACGAATACAATATTAGTTTTCAAGATCGTCCATTACTTTTGTCGATTTTATCGATTTTTTGAATATTTGAGCTAGGGGGCTGGAATTTGGCACAGGGGTGTGTAATCGAGCATGCTGATCACCCCCTTGGGGATGATCAGCATGCTCGATTACCCCCCTGTGCCAACTCCCAGCCCCGTAGCTCAAACTTTGCAAAAAATCGATAAAAATCGATAAAATCGATATCGATCGATGACGAAAAGTAGCCTATGACGCCCGCCGGGGCCCGTAGTGTATGCGTGCCAAGTTTGGTCCGGATCGGTTCAGAAATGGAATTTTCTATTCGGAGCATACGTACAGACATACAGACAGGCAGACATACATACATACAAACAGACATTCAGCTTTATATATAAGATGGAACGCTGATTTCAAATATGTTTTCGATATCTGTAAAGCGCTTCTAGGAATGGACTTAGGGTTTCTTCATACTACGGCGCAGGACGCAGCAGCCTGCTGCAGCGCTGCAGTCGCTGAAAATACGCTCACGGAAGCACAGCCGGATTAGTACCTGTAATGCATGTAGAATATGATGAAGCACTGCAAAAAGCGAGTACCTCATGGAAGGAATAAACAAAGTAGCGCAATAAAGTCGTTGATGAACAAGAGCGTAATAAGTCTGATGGCATCGAGGGGGCACACTAATTCAGCTTGAATGAAGTATCATTCGATCAACCTTCGATCAACGATGAGATAGAGTAAAAGAGGAGAAGGATTGCACTCGCGAGTTACGGTCACGGTGCAGGCGCGGAGTGTTTGGGGATGGATCTCAGCCCTGAATAAATCATTTGCGCTGCCGTTTGGGGTATTTTAAGCTAGGACCCCCTCATCAGTTTAAGGCAAAAACCCAGCGCGCCCGGATTTGCCTAGACAGTGCTGTGAAGTAACACTCCCGAAGGACACGAACGTGCAGCACGCCCTAAATGATCGTATACTTTCATGTAAATCCTTTCATTGTCAAAACAAGCTCGTGTGGTTAACAGGTTCATAGCTGAGATCTACTTGATCTCATAGTAGGGAAGCTGTCTTTTTGCACGGCGGTCTCCAGCCCACCCTGTTTTCGGCTCGTCTTAACACGTCAAGCACGTCGCGAATTTTTCCTTTCCCTGCTTTGCTTGGAAAAAAGCCGCCGCAGGGTATGTCGCGCGTTACAGTGTTTTCGTGTGGAAAGCATTACGGTCGTGTGAATCGCCCTACACCTCTAATAGTAAGATTATTTGCTACTCGAAAATAGTGAAGAACGGGTTCAAACTTGTTTGAGCAATATGTGCAAAGCGTTTTTAACTTAATGTAAGAGTGCAGACTACGGGCGGAAATCACGACAATCATGCGGCGTACCGAACCCCTCCCCTCCTCCGAGACCTGATCGCAAAATTTTTGAAAACTTAAATGGGCTCTAAAAATGCGCGAATCACTTGTTTAGACTTGAAAATAATCAAATTAAATTATCAAATTTTTTGAGAATTGAAGTTAGCCCTGCTTAGAAATTTTTTCCTGAAGCGCGGCTGCCAAAATCTGGGTCAGGGCTCGCAGAAACATTGAAGCATCCCATGAAATTTTCTGAAGTGGGTGGCTAGCGCCACTCACCTTAGTTTGATTTTTGTCCCCCCCCCCCCCCTCCCCCAACGGAAATCCTAGGTACGCCACTACAATCATGATATATTAATGCAACAGTTTTGATGAACACTGGAGATGTTCACCCATACTATTTTGATCCGGCCTATGCTAAAACCGGGAAATAGAATGAAAATACTAGAAAATGACGACTTATAAGCCATCTACGTAAATCTTAAGAATTGGCGGATAGTGCGCAGTACATACATCAAGTAACAAACCTAGACAAATCAAGGAAACTTCCCGAAGGGCAGTAATTTGCCAAACTTCCCGAGGGTTTCATAAAGCACGTAAGTGAATGGAGCATGAAGTGAAAGGAGAAAATGGGAACTCTCCGAGAGCTCCAACGTCGAAAGCAACTCAGTTAGAAACTTCCCAAGGAAGTCCATGGAAAGTTCTGCAAAATGCAGAACTTCCCGAGGACCTATTTGGGGGAACTTCCGCAGAGCTGTTTTGCGAGTTAGCGAAACAGTTCTGTTAAGTTCATCTTTGAACTCTGAAGCTAAGGTAGCAGTAAATAAATAGTAGCGAAACAGTTCTGTTTTGCATGTTTTGCAAGCACAGCCACTACCTGAGGGCATCATAATGATTAATGATTCGACCTTCATGTAACTGGGGATTCCATTTCCTAATCTAGCTGAGAAATTGTTCCTAACGAAGAGGTGCGAACTGCTACTTTAGCTTTAGAGTTCAAAGATCAACTTTTCACTTCTACTCCTTCTATTGTGTACACGTCACTGTTTATTTGTACGAGGTTGCTCACAAACGCCAGTTTCCGCATTGTTGATGTACACACTGACACAACGCAATGAAAACGGCGAGTATGTGTGAAGTTGTTCGGTGATACGTGCTCTCAAAATATTTACAATGGTTTTTGAGTTATGGTCCATGGTTCAAAGACTTGCTACCTAATTTTTAATACAGTATTGTTGGCGCTGCTATAAAAGAGAGCCTTTCCTAACCTGGTAGGAAAAAAAACCACGATTCATTGTAGAGTCACTTAGAATGCAAGCTTGAAGGTAGTGTCCAGGAAGACACCGTAGTGGAGACATTTTATTCGAATATAGTCACAAACAAAACCGGACTTTTCTGCCACTAGATGGACCATTTATAGCTCAATGGTTACAGTAACCGTCCTAATTCCAGTATTTCTGTTCATTCCATAGGGTCGCTTCATTTAGCATCATACACTTGCACTCATAATAGAAGTGTTAGTGTTAATAAAATTCGTACACGACCATACTGTTTTCTTGTGTCGGACCCAGGTTGATCGGTGGAGCTTTATTGACTTAACGTTTCGAACGTTTTTGTCTTCGTCAGGAGTCTAAAAAGGATTATTCGTACCTCACTAGCGCCAAATGTCTCGTCAACGCTGCACGCCCAGACCTTCCCTGTGCAATGTACTTGAAAGCAAAACGAGAGTGCCAACTTACAGTACAACATAAGACCAATAACCCGCACAACCGTGGTCGAAGTGGCGTTTCTAAATGTGACCAACTCCACTTTAAAGAGCATTGCACGGTGACCGCAAATCCGCCTTCAGTAGCTTCCAAGCACCTCTGTACGCCGAGTTATGACCTCTTTGGAACAAAAATGAATGCAGAATTTAGGTAAGATCAATTGTTACAATCTTTCCAGCGCTCAAATAAAACAATGTTAAGTATTGGCATGTTAGACAAACATTTTTCATTGCATGAACTACTCTGATACTCGACACCGGACTATGTGAGCAAATTTGGGCGATTTTGATTAATAAATTAAGATCGATGTCTTGTAGCCAACGACGGGATTGTTTGATTTTGATCCAGTTTTGAGACAATTTTTGGACCCAAAAAACGCCCATGACTCCAAAAACGCTCATAACTCGGCGTCCAGAGGCGCTTGGCAGATAATGAAGGCAGATTTGGAATTACTGTGCAATACTCTCCAAACAGTATAGGTCTCATCTGAAAAGATCACTTCAACTAAACACTTTTCCCTTGTGAGTTTATACTCAGTGTGTCCAGTTATACTGTGCGGATGTGATTTTGCATAATAATATGCCAAGAATCTGGGGAAATTCCACTGCAAACTCTCGATTACGACAAAAAAAAATTCCTTCAACAGAAACGTAACTTAAGCCCGAGGAGGAGTAGTTTATAATTTAGTCTTCTGTGGCATTCGTGAAGACCTTGACATAAACAAATTGCAAAGCTTCTTCCATCGGGGTTGTGACACTGACTATGAAAATCTCACTAGGAATGTGCTTATTAGGTCTTTTTTCTGTATATTATATACGGACCATATGAGCAGCAGATGCTTTGGCAACGATAAATTAGGTACCATCTATTCAACTTCGATGAACTTGATTCAGAGTTCAGTGAAGAAAAAGGGTAAATTGTGGCTTTGACAAAATCGGCAAAGTTGACTAGTAATTCTTTAGCGCTGGTTGCATCCTTCTTTGAAACTGATGCATTTGATAATAAGCTGCAGATTTGTAGCTATCGTATTGGAGGTCTCCTGTGGATTCCCTTGCTTTCCTCTATCATTGCGAATAATTATGAGCGCTAAAGTCGAAGATCTGGCCTTATGTACTCTTGTTTAGGTTGCTGAATAAGAGATCAGCAACAGGGCCAAATCAAGTTAATTTCTTATAGAACAAATTTGAGAAGATTTATACAAAACCGGATTTACACATAATTAGTACATTTTATACAATATCAATACGAAAGTCCTACTAGCCGCGACGGCCAAATCCTCCACGTCGTCCTCCCCAGCCTCGACCTCGGCCAAATCCAGGTCTGCCAAAACCTCCGCGGCCAAATCCGGGCCTAGCAAAACCTGGGCGGCCAAATCCGGGTCTACCAAAACCTGGGCGGCCGAATCCGGGCCTACCAAAACCTGGACGGCCAAATCCGGGTCGACCCCACCCACCACCGTAGGGACGACCAAATCCTCCACCGTAGGGACGACCGAATCCTCCACCGTAGGGACGACCAAATCCTCCGCCTAGAATAAGTGTGGGTAAGGCACTTACTTTCAAAAGTAATATAAGACATACCGTATGGTCTACCCCATCCCCACTGAGCCTCGACTTCGCTGCAGAGGAAACAAAGTGCAATAAAAACAGCTAGCAGTAATCTTAGAAGCATCTCGAGATAAACAATGCGTGGTTCGAGATGTGTTCCGAGCGATTTTATAGGGTTCGCCGAATGACCCCGAGTTTTTCGGAAAACAAGCTGAGTCAGCGTTCATCACCTTTTGAGAGATACGCATGGTAAGTAAATTTGAAGAAATGTTAACCAGAGATCAGGTAAGCATTCTCTGATCAGATAGCACTGTTCTCTCCACGTTCCTTGGCAAGCATCGATTTCGACCTTGAAGGTTGTTTGTTTGTTTGGTTAGCTAAATTTCAGAGATACATTGTTCGTCTAACTAGATTCCTTTTTATGGCAGACAACAAACTCTATTTGTAAACAAACGATACCATGCGACGCACAAAAATTAATGCAATAAAAATCGTCTTTGAAAGGGATGGTGGCGAAACTACCAAAAATCACCTTTATTTCTCCTTATCTTCGGTTTTCCGTAATTTATCGTTACGATTTTAATTCTTCTACAAGCTTCGAAACTTCCTTGACCCACATATATTTCGCAAAGTGGGACAATTACAACATAGGGTGTGTTCTTCCGATTTGAAAGATAACAATTCATGGCTAATGTAAATGATATCTAATGGGAACGAAAATGTGGAAGATAGGATTCAGGTATAGCAGTTTGGATGGATCTTTGATAAATTCTTACTTTGTACTGTAAAGGGCATGTGAAAATAAATATCTTCAAAATATTCCAAAATAGCAGCTTCTTAGCATGTTTGTAAAAATTTTTCTCTATTAAACTTTTTTTTGTGCATGCAGAAGCTGGAATTTCCAGTTGTCAGTAAATGAAACCACTAAAACTAAATTGGTGAGAAACTTTTTTTGACTTGGCGGCCCGGTATTAACCAGGGCGAGAAGTGGTCACATTTGGCAAATTAAATGTACACTATCCCATGTTCCTCACATTTCACAAAATACATTTGATTCTTGAATTATTTGTCCACTTATTATTTCCTTTTTTCTGAACACTCATTCCATAAGTTCTAAGCTTATACGCAGTTGCAGTTTCTGTTGATATCGTTAACCTAATTCCATTCAGGCCGACTTGCGTTTCTGCGAAGCGCAACTTACTAAGAATTGAGTAAAAAACAAGGTGTAAAATGGCCACAATCTTCATCACAATTGCCGACTGCTAAAATATTTTTTCGTATGAAAAATAGTACTGTAGTTTATAAATGTAGGGTTCGCGCCTCATTTTCCTCTCAACGTAGAGTCGGACGTTATCATTATTTGATGAAAGCAATGGACAGATTCAGATTCAACCAGAAAGTTTAAGAAGCCTGCAAACTTTATACACAGCTATCTTAATGGTAATTAAAATATGATTTTGCTGGTTTATAGCGAAAATGTGGCAAAACTTTTGGCCTGAGATACAGGAGTGACCCCTAGATGATTTTGAAAGAACCTAAACGGGGAGGAAATCAGATCAAACTTTTTCCGCACTTTCCTCACTATATGAGTCTTCTACTAATCATTATAATCAGTGGACAGAATTGTTAGATCATGAATGCTTATTCTGGTCTATTGATCGGCGATTTATTTACATTTTTATTGTAGAAATACATAACAAGAGTGAAAAGCGAATAAAATTTCTGTCGTATTTCAGTGTATTTTTATGTTCTTAAGGGGTTTCAATGCAGATCGAGGTGTGGTTAATTTGCTTACAGTGTCTATAGAAAAAAAGCATACCTTTTTTCTTTTATCAGAAAATGCTTCAAAAATTTTTATTCCATAAGTTGGAATCCTTTTTTTATTGCGTGAACACCTCATGTATGTTTAAAACATTTCGGCTAACTTGAGTTTTTTAAAAAAAATTTTGACAACTCGAAAAAGAGACTTGAAAAACGGAAACTTACAATTTAGAATTTCGGCATTAATCCTTGATGAAATACCCCCAAGAATTCGATAGTAACATACGCAGCAGAACAAGATGCTAGAAGATATTTCAGTTTGTAAAAATGTGAGGTTCAAAAAACGATTTGCATCGCAAAAAACAAAGAGCTGTGGTCTCAGATTTATTACGTTTATAAATATGAAACAAATACTAATTTACATCAAAAATCATATAATTAACGTTGCACTTATACTGAGCTCAACAAATAATATTGAGAAAAGCATATCGAGAAGTTTAGCAACGAGATCATTTCGATTATCCGTATCCATAACCACCATATGGGTATCCTCCATATCCTCCGTAACCTCCTCGGTATCCACCGTATCCACCGTAACCTCCCCATGGTCGACGGAACATTGGTCGGTATCCTGCAGCGAAAGTTATCTTGTCATTACTTCAAAAAGGAATTGTTTTTAACTTACCGTAACCTCCACCATATCCTCCATGGTAGCCTCCATAGCCACCTGGGTAACCGCCGTAACCCCATTGGGCATCGACGATGCAGAGCATGGCCGTCACACAAAATACGGCAAGCAGGATTTGTGAGATCATTCTGAAGAAAAAAAAGATTTTTGATTTAGAAGATAGTCTAGAGGAATCAGCTATAAAAGAAATGGAGCTTGTGCGGGCAAACCAGAGAAAGCAAAAAGATCGTCGTAATGTTTCCGCTGGACTCGGCTTTTTATACCCTTCAGGATTCAATGGTTCGCCGAACATCGACAGATTGCTCTACTATTCGCCGAAAAAGCGCATGAGTTGAAGAGATTTTCCAGCGGAGATATGAATGATGTCATTGATTCGAGTATGTGGGTCGGTCGTATGGGTTGTGGTGCTTATAGCTGACTTCAACCGTAGGCGATTTGACAGCTGCGTTGAAGTAATTGATTCATATAATTCAAAACTATAAGGCAAAGTGATTCATTTTTTTCTTTGCAGGTAAGTTTTGTTCCGCACATTGTTGATTTTTTCATTTATAGAAATGAACTTTTCATGAAAATAGGATATTCGGAAGGGTTTGACAATCACATAAATTCGCATTTTTGGATATGCATACCGCACCTCACAGTTCAATTGTGCTGAAATAAGCTTATCCATGCAGACTTTGTGCCTCTGGTAAATATAATAGATTGTATGATGTTTCACCCTTTCTTCCAACCGGACAAAACAGCGAGAATTTTCAGCTTTTTTCGCATAGTTAATCACATTTCTTGAATAGAGACAAGAGATAGAGAAAAATAAAGACAGGCTGCAAATGCAAAAGCTTGAATCCATTCTTACACGATTTCAGCTCAAACAGAACTTTTGTTATATTTTTTCTGGTAAACGTCACTCTTACCTTTATGCCAACCTTATTTTAGACCCAATTGTAAGTTAATTTTTAAAGTTGATGCCATAATTTTTTCTATATTACTGTGCGTAAACCGCTGAGATTTTGAAGTAGATGAAACTTGATTTTAAACATATTTTGTTTAAACATCACTTTTTTCGGCTCAGAAATACATTAGATGAAATTGATGATGGGCGCTTTATGTATGGGTCGAAATTCTTCACAAAGGAGTAATTTTTAATGTATAGCAAAGTATCAATTTAGGAAAATGAAAAAAATTGTTGGGTGAGATTTATTTCATCTGCTTATTATTATTATCAAACAACCAGAAAATCATAACGGCAGGATCTGATTACTTCGCAGATCAAGTGTGGCATAAACTTATTGAAGAGAAGTTGTTTTGAATTAATGTAAACTAAATATTCTGTTAGTTGTATGAAATGATGCATGTTAGTCTGGTAAAGTGTCAGAGGGCATTACTCTCAATATGAATGTTCTATCTCAGCTGCCAAAGCTGTTCATTTTTTTAGTTTTTTGCTTATTCTTCACTACAGGCTTTTTATTTTGATAAATTTTGTGGAGGACAAAGATGATGCTTGATTACGAGAACAAGTTCCAAATTCTCTTTTTTAATCTTTTAACTCGCTATCCTTGAACATCTAAGAAAACGGATATGATTACGAATCATCCACCCGTAATCATCCGTAAAGAACAGGCTGCGTAGACCATAAACTTTGGTAAGCTAATCGCCGAAAACAACTGGCTGGATCAGGAAGTGGACATCCCAAGAATGCTAGATGCTGATTAAGTGAAAATTATTTTAAGATTGCTAGGTTATCCGCATATTATGTTGAAAAAATCTCCTGGTTACTGGCAATAAACTTAATGTTACGTTTGTCATCTGCTGGAAACTTTGAGTGCTGAATAGAAAAATGCCAGTTCCTGCATTTGAGTCTCCTTGGTCATTTCTCAACCACTGCTATGCCCAGATTTGCCTTTATTAGGAAAAAGGACTGCATTTTACGAAAAGAACTCTTATCTGATGTTTTATGTACAAATTCGTGTTTATAACGTTACGGGCGAAAGTAAATACTTTGATCCTTAAAACTATTTCAATTCTTCTATGACTGTTCAAGATAACGACTCTAAATCTCCCGGGAATCAAAAATTGTGCAGATAATCAGATCACACGCACGCTGCTATTGCAACTCAATATTGTGGCAGAAATTTATATGCGGGATTTAGGATGGGAATTAAATAATCTTGGAATTCAGTTATTATCATACTATTAGGTTGATGCATAATTCTTGCACCGAAACAGATAAAAACGCAATAATCCGTAATAATCCTATACTCCAGATAGGATTCGATATATCATTAGATAGAGCAAACCAAGCTCTACAAGACAGTGCTTGAAGTTCTGCAGCAGCTTTGATCCAAGAGAAGATTTGAGACAGAAACGAAAAAGATCCAAGCGCTCCAAAAACCAAGAAAAACTTGAAAGTCTGTTCAAAAAATCTTTCAAAAACCCCTAACTTGTTCATACATTGTCATTTCGTAAAAGACATTTCTCTATGCAGTTGCTTCATATTTTTCTCAGTTGAAAATTGAGAAAACGAAATTTTTCATGTTTTTTCCAAGAAAATGTTGGGATGTTCTAGCACTGACAGTTGTGTAAGAAGCTTGAGTGTGAATTTTTAGCTTTTTACAGCAGTAACGTTTACGGTTTACGAGAAGTATTAAATTCTTAGCAACTAGGCAAGAAAAATTCGGATAAAGAGAGCTAGATTCTCATTTCTGGTGAACTAGCTGTTCTAGAAGGCTAAAAATCTAAAGTTTTACTGTGGCATGTACTATGCAACTGATAATTCTAGAACACCTCAGCACTAATTTGCGAAAAACATTAAAAGCTTCGTTTTCTCAACTTTTAGCTGAGAAAAAAATATAGCAACTGCCTAGAGAAATGTCCTATACGAAATGACAATGTATGATCAAGTTAGAAATTTTGAAGGGTTTTTCCGAACGGACTTCCAAATTTTCTAAGTTTTTTTCCGGCGATTGGATCTTTTTCTTTACTGGCTTCAATCTTGGCTTATATGAAAGCTTCTGCAAAATTTAAGCACTGCCTTGTAGGGCTAGGTTTGCTATATCTAACGATATATCGAATCCTATTTGGGATATAGGTTTATTTCAGATTATCGCGGTCTGTACCTACTTTGGTGCAGGAATTATGCATCAACCTAATATAACTGGGCGGGGCAGCTCCACCCACTCCTCAGAAAATACTGGAAATTGCTTGGAATCTACAATTCGTGCGAATTGACATCTTGAAAAATAGGAGGAGTTTACCGCTGAGAGGACGGACCTTTTCTGACGGGGGGGGCAAGATCAAAGCTGCTTGGGGCTTCAAAAGTCATTTGGACCTCTTCTTTGCGTTCTGTTCACAAAAAGGTCTCTTAGAAGGCAAATTGGGTGGGCGAAGTTTGCCAAAGGAGACGGGGCCAACATGAGAACTTTTGAGCCTAAGTTGATTTTACAACACAAACTAGTTGACGCCCGGCACTGTCATATTATATTCGTAATCAGCATGCTCGATCACCCCCTGTGCCAACTCCCAGCCCCGTAGCCCAAATTTTGCAAAAAATCGATAAAATCGATATCGATCGATGACGAAAAGTAGCCTATGACACCCGCCGGGGCCCGAAGTGTATGTGTGCCAAGTTTGGTCCGGATGGGTTTAGAAATGGAATTTTCTATCCGGAACATACGTACAGACAGACTGACAGACAGACAGACATACAGACATACAGACAAACAGACATTCAGCTTTATATATAAGATTAGAGATTAGAGCTATTGGGCGCATAAAATCAAAGTTTAAGATGCCGCGCACCATTGCGCGGCACTGTCGTCGACGTCTTATAATATTCCGGCATTCTGTTGTGAATACATTAGCACATAGGCGTATCAAAAATTCCAAGAAGTTGATTCTTCAAAGCAAGTCAAAATTGGTTATTCTGCAAATGAAATAACAATCAAGCTTGAACTGACAAACTTTCATGTTTTCGCTATAGTTATGTGTTTCAGACTTCACTAACTCAATGTTCTCAAAAAAATAATTTCACGGTAGCAGAAAAGGTACTACTAGACAATCAGAAAACTTCGAAGTGAGTATCCCGAGCAAGACCGTTACTGAATTTTATTCTGAGAGGCAAAAAAGCTACAGCTTGAAAATGAAGAAATTTCAAATTTTTCGGCGTATTTTCACACCTGCAGAATTTCGAGAACACGATTGACTTTGTCTGCAAAATTTGCAAGTGTTGAAATAGAAGGTGATCCTCAGAAAAAGAAAGAAGAGCTACTGAATAGATGTCTGAATCGCTAACCTGCTCATGTTTCACCAGATTTGAAAGAGAAGAATATGAATCCGATCACGCCAGAAATTGATGTATGAAAAATTTTAAAGGTTGGCTAGAGTAGATACGAAAAAATCTATTGGTTGCGAGTTTTCTCGATCTTTGAAAGTTGAAAGAAAATCATGCAGCTGTTAGACAAGGCGAAAACAATGACATTAGAAACTTATCATCTTGACCACTATTCCATAGAATTTCTCTTATTTTATAGTTATTAATGAGAGGAAGATTTCGGCTTCAAATACAATAAGGGCTTTCTTATCTGTGATTTTGGGGTAGGGAATAGGTCATAAAGCTTTAGGAACTTCTTATCTCGCATGTCATAGGTAATAACAATACAGTAAAAGCATTTACCTAAGCCTTCTTACAAGGAGAGGATATTTAGTCGAAAGCACCAATCCAGATGAGACACATATATCGTATTAATAATGAGAAGTAAAGCTTTTCAATGTAATGTGTAAATAACCAAAAACTCCGTTTCGTTCCTGCCCTTAGACGGAGTAAAAGTATTTACAGACCTTCCCCGGAACTCCTCAGTAAGGAAGGAAGGTCTGTAAAACCTATTTTCAATAATAAGAAGTAAATTTATTGAGTAGTGTAAACTATGTGTATGAACTTTTTTGAAATTTTTTAAAGTTTTTTTCTTTTTTCTAAAAATTGTTAAGATATTGTATCAAAAATGTGATAGTAATAGAATTACTTACTTTTAAAAGAATATACTTCAATATAGAATATTTATCCTATAATAAAAGAGCTCCACTATATATATATATGAGCTCCACTATACATAACCACATAACTTTTAATAATAT